AGTGCTAAAGACAAGCACACTTCTGTGAGCTGTTTTCAGGTAAACTTGCAGCTTTGGGGCAAGTGATTCAGACCCTGGGTCCGTGTTGGAGCAGATGGGAGAGTCTGGCTCAGCAAGACAGGGTGCTGGAGTCCTGAGCTGGCAGGGAAAACAGGAGCAGAAGTAGTCTTGGTACGTCAGGTGGCAGCTCCCAGGGGGGTTTCTGTGATCCAACCCGTCACAAGGCATCAACAACAACAAAAAGCCATGCAACTCACAAAGCTGAGCCAATTCTTCACAATATTTACCTGGTTATGTATCATATCCCTATGCCTACTCTTAGTCTGCTTTACGTCTTTTAGGGTATGCCTACACTGCAGTCAGAAGTATGAGTACAGCACATATGGACATACCCACAGCCTCTCATTAACCATTTCTTGGCCAGCGTGGAGTTTGTATACCCCATCACAGCTATACTCTATCATTTTTGCTCATGTGGAGTAGTGCCTTATTGACAAGAAGTTCCATTGCACAGCATGTAGAATAAAGAGCTGCTTAGTATGGGTATGGGAAATAGAATCAGGCCCTATTTGTTTGTTTATGGCTCTGGAATGGCTTTTATAGTCAGGTCTATACTCAAGGTGAGAGTAGAGAGGTGTCCAAAGGAATTTCTCCTTGTGGTATGTTAAGACAGACAGAATGCTTCTCAAGACACTGGGGGAGAATTTGGAAGCAGTTTTTACATCTCCTTACTTTCTCTTTAGAGAAGTAGCACAAGGTCCCAAGGCTGTGATTGCTTGTTGCTCTACAGGCAGCATAGACCTAGACATACCATATGGACAACTTCTCACTGTGCTATCTTACCTCCACCTCCAATACCACTACACTTAGGGTTTGAAAGCACTGGCATTCTGGCTGCCCATTATGTCAGTGCACAAAGTGGGAAAGGTCCTTGTATCCTGCCCCACCTGTCATGCATCCATGCTGGGGCAGGCGGAATCCAGCACATAATGTTTTTAAAGAGAAGGACAACAGTATTAGGGTTTGACAAATATCAGTACCTCTTTCAAAGAAGATTCTATCCTGTAACAGTACTGGTAGGCAGCTGGTTTTACATATTCTATGTAAATTGTGGAAAAGTATACAAACTTACTGACAATTCTTGGATGATTTTTTGGAGTTCGTTGTGCCCGTGCTTTCCAGCAATATGTGCTGGTTTCTCTCCATGTTTGTTGGCTATTCTGCAAGCCTGACTTGCCTCAGGACACTGGAGTAGAAGAGTAGCAAGGTTCTTTAATCCAAATTTAGCTGCACAGTGTAGAAGTGTAGGAAGCTCTTCCCAATAGGAATCTGTATATGGAAATAAGAAAAGGTTTTTTATAAAAGTCCCTGGTTTATAGATAAAACATATCACCCTCCTTTACCAAACTTCCAGGGTTCAATAATATGTAGTGTTATGAAAGCTGTCCTTGCAGAATTGGTCCTCAGAGAGCAAATTCTTCTAACTAAAAGTTTATAATTCAAGTAGTCGTCATACATTTCAGTAATGGTGCCTCTTAAACTTCCTTTAACATAACCGAGAAGTCCCATTTTCTCTGACAGATGGAATTTCAAAAAACACTTGAATTATTTCTACTGATAAATAATGAGAGCTGGACACTGCCCCAGGGAAAGAAAATTCTACAGTATAGGCATACCTTCCCGTAAATATTTATTACTAAAATTCTCTAAAGCCATTTTTAATCTCCGTAGCTGTCCTGAACATGACATTTCTAGAGGGGTATATAGAATCATAGAATATCAGGGTTGGAAGGGACCTCAGGAGGTCATCTAGTCCAACCCCCTGCTCAAAGCAGAACCAATTCCCAACTAAATCATCCCAGCCAGGGCTTTGTCAAGCCGGGCCTTAAAAACCTCCAAGGAAGTAGATTCCACCACCTCCCTACGTAACACTTTCTGTAATATAATACCCGTTTTGCATGTTCATATAGCTAGATTGTATCTGCAAATGTGTGCCTATCAACTTACTGAAAATCAGGCCCACTTTTTTGTTTTTAAAATAACTCTACATTTGGGGAACAGATTTTTAGCCATTGTTCTGAAATAGTGGGATGTTAATTTGTATTGTCTCTTGTATTTCTCTTTTGAGGAATAAGTGAGGTAGGTACACTGGAATTAATCGACTATTTCAAAACTTATTATTAGCAATGATACAATGGTAGTGGTGGAATGGCAAAATCTCAGCTCACCATCATTAGAAAGATGGATTGCAAAGACATAGGAAGTTCTTGCAATAGAAAAAAATAATTACTGATCCCAGAAAGGACTCTTATGGTAGTTACTTAAATGCTTGATTGCCTTTTGGACAAGGAAGCAAGAACAGAGAAACCCAGAAATATTTGTGCTATACCATACTGAGAGGAGAACTAGCTGTTCTTTGTACTGTGGACTATAATGTTGAAGTTTTTAACCACCATAAGTAAGCAAGTCTGTGTGTGTGTGTGTGTGTGTGTGTGTGTGTGTGAGAGAGAAACAGAAAGAGATTCTGGCAAAAAACTTCAATGCTAACACCTAAGATTGAGCACCTAAATATAAAAGGCCTGAATTCCACATGTATGGAGCACCCACAAATCTATCTGAAGACAATGGGGTTTTAAGTGCTCAGCACCTTTGAAAAAACAAGTCACTTAAATATATATATTTAAATAGATTCAGGAGCCTTGCATCTATTTATAGGCACACAGCTTCAAAAATTTGGGCCTCTGTTAAGAAAATATTTGTTTTCCTGTGTATATCCATACAGTAGCTGTGGGTTTTTTTTGAATTTTATATTTCTTTGATTCTTCTTAGTAAAAGTCTATTAAGAATTACAATAATTGTAATTTTAAAATAATAGCTCCAGCAACAAAAATATCTAAAGCTTCTTTGGAGAAATAGCTGCTGTATGATATGTTTACTCTGCCATTCTCAGCCTTCTTATTTAAACTCCATAGTCTAGATTCTATATTAGAATAACTATAAATGTTTTTCCCTTAGAAAAGTGAACATAATCCATAATGTAGTTAGTTATTTCTCTATATTTCCACACACAGCAGAAAAAATCTCTGGAGAAAACACACACACTATCAGGAGATGTCACACTAACAGTATAATATATGCAAGGAATTTGAAAACTAGACCAAAAACATCAAAGCTAGGTCTAATTCTGCACATTACGTGGGATTCTTTTACAAGTAAAATGTCTAAAAAATAGCTGGTATTTCAAAAGCATCTCAAAAAAGATTTCTTCCCTGAGTTGCCTATATTAAACTTTCTGCCTTTGGAGGTGTCTAGCAGTAACATAAAAGTTGAAAAAGGTTAAAGGATAATTTTAGAGAGGATATGATAACAAAAAAAATGTAATTTCCAGCCTATATTTTGCAAGCATACTTCAAGAGGTCAAATATTTTATGCAAAAAAACTTCTACAACATGTTAATGACATTGTCTAAGGAAAAACTCAATGCCTTTAAATTAAACCAGATATAATTGGCCATGAATGCAAAATAAGTCCTAATTCTATCATCTTATAAATTCCACTCACACACATTGCTTGAGATGGGAGGAAGTGACAAAATGCATCATAAAGGGTGCCACAAAGGGAAGTGAGGGAATCTCAGCACCTGAACTTAGATGTTTTTGTCACATTTGTCACAGTACTGTCTACATATGCATAACAAAATGCTATAATGTATGCAAACTGTGACAGTTTAGTATTTTATGGAGGCACTGGTTGAGACTCCTAAGTTAAGGTTGAATTTTCCACTTAAAGCAGTACTTCAATCTCTTTGTCATGAACAAAAAATATAGAACATCCTCACAATTAGAAAGAATGAGTAATAAAATAATTTCTGAGAATTTACAAATAAGTTTATTAGTGAAAATTTTTAAAATTGGTATTTTAAAGAATTTTAACTTATATAGTTGTTGGATTTTTATTTTTAGCCTGAACAATCTTAATTATGGAATAATACAGCATCTTCAAATTTTTCATGTAGTTATGATTATGGACTGTTGGGGACAGGTTATTAGCTCATGTCACTCTTGAATGGAGCCATTGTGACATTATAGGTAACTCAACTGTGACAAAAAGTCAGACCTGACAGTTCTGGAGGTGTGGTCCTATTGAAATTCCAGGGAAGTGGGCGGGCTTATGCGGGCTTATGCCCATGGCTAAAGGACTCTCCCCCAACCTTTGGGGAGGATCCACTGAGCTTGGAAACTCAACAGATTACGGGAGACAACAAAACCCTGCAGAGACCCCATGCAGTCCTGGTGAAAAGAACTCCAGTATCAGCTTCAGGAGCTTGTCCAGGAACCCCGAGGTCAAGCACAGGGTGTTGAGCTGGTGCCAGAGCATGGACAGGACCAGTTGGTTGAGCACCAGTCCCCTCCCCCGAAGAGAGAGGCACCGGAGCAGTCCTGTCCACTCTGGAGGTGCGGTCTTATTGGGTGCTGGGAAGTGGGCAGGCGCAAAAGGCCCCTCCCCCAGCCTGGGGAGGAGCTACTGAGCCCAGAACTCAAGTAAAGTCAGGGGACAAGGAAGAAAAAAAACAGGAACAGGTGTGGGGGTCAAAGGGCCAAAACTAGGGAACGTGATGGGGACACTGAGCAGAGAACCCCGGACAGCGCCCACTGCTCCTCAAAAGCATCCAAGGAGCCAGTGGACCTGGCAGTGTGGTCCTTTTGAGCGCTGCGACGTGGGCAGGCACTAGCTCGTTCACTGCTAAAAGTCCCTCTCCCAGCCTAGGGAGGAGCTACTGAACCCAGAACTCAACCAAGTTCGGGGGACAACAAAGGCAATAACGGGAACAGGCGTGGGGGTCAAAGGGCCAAAACTAGGGAACCAGAAGGGGACACCGAGCAGAGAACCCGGGACAGCTCCCACTGCTCCTCACAAGCATCCAAGGAGCCAGTGGACCTGGAGGTGTGGTTGAAGGCAGGTATATCCGTCTTAGATTGGTTAAAGCCCTTTTTTCTATTAACTGAAAGGTTATCTCAGGTTAATTAGGGGCACCTGAGTCTAATTAAGGGCAGCCTGTGATCTTTAAAAACTTCTTCCAGTGAGGGAGAAAGAAGAGGAGGAATGAGAAGTAAGCTGCAGAAAGGTTGTGTGCAGTGAGGGAAAAATGTTTCTGCTAGGTCAAGAGCTGTTTTACCCCACAAGGGGAAATCTTGTGTTTATTTCTGTTTGGGGGGAGGCTTTGATTCCCAGAATAGCTGGGCCAAGAGTAGTTTAAAGAGGGTGGAGCCAGCAGAAGAAGAGGCAGTGCTCCAGGAGAAATTAAAAAAATTATTTATTTTTTGTTTAAAGAAGCCCTTGAGCCAACCTTAAGCCCTACCCTGTAAATAAGCCAATGTGAAGTATTAAATCTGCAGAGTAGGACTGATTTACCCCAGGTCCCCCTCAATGCCAGGAGGAGAAACACTGAGTCCTGATGTGAGAAAAGAGGGACATTTGTCACACAACCAGTCGTTACTATTTCTATCCAACTACTTTCCCTGCTACAATTCTATTAGTTGGAATGAGACAGTGTGTGAAGGAAACTATATAAAAAGTGTCACTTAGTTCCCAATGGTCATTGGACTGGATCCAACCTTTATACTGGTATTAAATTCTTATGCCGTATGTTAAATTAAAGGACAGATTGACCAGAATATGATCCAGAAACTTTGTGCTACCCCAGTCAATTTAAGCAGCCAGCTTGTACCGGTGAGACTGTATCTGGCCTTAAAAGTTAAAAATTGTAAAAAATTAAAGTTGATAGTACATATCATTATTACATATATTCCGCTTGCTAGTGATATCACAAGGTGGCATTCTCCAAGGGTTTCTTGTTTAATATTAATGTATGAAATCTGTAACAATTAACATAACATTAACAAAGAAACCATAATAATTTTTACAGTGCAAAACAAGGATGAATAACCCATCTATCTCATTCAACTTGGAATTGAATGATTATTGATTGTTTTACATTAATGATGAAATAATGACTTTAAAGTCTGTGAAGTGTCTGATTATCAGTGGTAAAGGCATTAATTCCCTTTGATTATTAGAGTCTTGTTATTTAAAAATACTGATAGACAAGGCAGAATAAAGAGAGAGATTGTAAGGTACCTATAGTAAATCAGGCTAGTCTGCCTTTTGATGGTTCAGTATAGTGTATTCTGTATATCAGTCATGTTACTGATGCTGCAAATTCATTTACGATTCTTTTATACTAATGACATATAGGTTATAGTTACACTGCAATTGAAGATGTGATTGCCTACCTGCACTAGCTTTATTTTAGCTAGCACACTAAAAAT